GGCATGGGATGCATATGGAGATCGTTGAAATAGCTGCTCTGTTCCAGCTCAGGGAAATTGAGAGGAGAATATTGTGCAATTGCTGATGTAAGATGGCAGAATAGAGGGCACGGAAGCGAAGGGCTGGTCTCTGGAGAGTCTGACAGATGTTGTTTTGACGGAACTGAATGTGTGTCTTCCTCCTTCGTCTTGTAGAGACAGAGGTCTTGAGGAGAATTTTTCCATAACGTGCTGCATTTATTTCCTACATTGCTCAGCTGTCAAAACCTTCCATAGAAACATCAGTTGAATTATAAGTAAGCAACGTTAACACCAGCATGGCTGTAATATGGGTGCCAGCTCCTGGTAACTGCCTTGGTAATGCCATGGTCATATCCCATCATGCAGACCATTTGCAATTTACTGTGTCACACAGGAATTGGCAACATATTGGTTGTAGGGAGATCATATACACTACTTTCCCTCTCTGCCATCCCTGGCAGAGGATATGAAGTTTATTAGTAAAGTCTGAGTTGAGAGGGCAGTACTGTTGATGTGCAAGGGATGGCTTTGCCCTGGGCAGGGAGGCAGAGTTGGCTGTGATTCAAGAAACTGTTTGTCTTCCTTCTTTGTCTTTGAGGTCCAAATGCCCAGAGGGGAATGACCATCTCCGTCATATTTGAAAAGTCGTCGCTGTCACGTGAGGTTCCAGATGACTGGAGGAAGGGTCACGTCACTCCTATTTACAACAAAGGGAGCAAGAAGGACCCTGGGAACTACAGGCTGGTGAGTCTCACCTCTGTGCCTGGGAAGATCATGGAACAGATCCTCCTGGATGACATGCTTGACCACATGAGTAATGAGTGCGTTACCTGAGACAGCCAGCATGGTTTCACCAGGGGAAGGTCATGCTTGACCAATCTGGTGGCCTTCTGTGATGGAGTGACAGCATTGGTGGACAAGGGAAAGGCGAATGATGTCATTTACCTGGATTGAGCAAGGCCTTTGACACAGTCCCCCACCACATCCTCATCTCCAAATTGCAGGGATGTGGATTTCATGGGTGGACCATGTGATGGATAAGAAACTGGTTGAAAGGCCACAGACAGAGGGTAGTCATCAATGGCTCTGTGTCCAGGTGGAGGCCGGTAACGAGCAGCATCCCCCAGGGCTCTGTCTTGGGACCGGTGCTCTGTAACATCTTTATCAGTGACATCGATGATGGAATCTAGTGCACCCTCAGCAAGTTTGCTGACGACACCAAGCTGAGTGGTGTGGTTGACACAGTGGAAGGAAGGGATGCCATTCAGAGGGACCTCAACAGGCTTGAAAGATGGGCCCGGGTGAACCTGATGAGGTTCAACACAGCAAAGTGCAGAGTTTTGCACTTGGGAGTGCACTTTTTGCACTCCATTTCTGGAAGGAATCTCAGGCATCCATACAGACTAGAAGGAGCCCTGCAGAGAAGGATCTGGGGGTCTTGATAGATGAAAAACTTAACATGAGCCAGCAGTATGCTCTTGCAGATCAGAAGGCAAATGGTATCCTGGGGTCCATCAGAAGAGGGGTGGCCAGCAGGGACAGGGAGGTGATTGTCCCCCTCTACTCTGCTCTTGCCCCATCTGGAATACTGTGTCCAGGTCTGGAGCCCCCAGTACAAGAAAGACAGAGAGCTGTTGCAGAGGGTCCAGAGGAGAGCCACAAAGATGATCAGGGGACTGGAGCACCTCCCCTATGAAGACAGGCTGAGGGAGCTGGGCTTGTTCAGCCTGGAGAAAAGAAGGCTGCGGGGTGACCTCATTGAAGCATTTCAATACCTAAAGCCTACAAACAGGAGAGGAGTCAACTCTTTGAAAGGGTAGATAACAGCAGGACAAGGGGAAATGGTTTTAAGCTGAAGAGGGGAAGACTTAGGTTGGATGTTAGAGGGAAATTCTTTGCTATGAGAGTGGTGAGGTGCTGGCTGCCTGGAGAGGTTGCGGATGCCTCGTCCCTGGAGGTGTTCTAGGCCAGACTGGATGGGGCCCTAGGCAGCCTGGTCTAGTATTGAATGTAGAGGTTGGTGGCCCTGCAAGTGGCAGTGGGGTTGAAAATTCATGATCCTTGAGGTCCCTTCCAACCCTGGCCGTTCTGTGATTCTGTGATTCTGTGACCAGACCAAGGAACCTCTTGTTTTTTGCTGCTCAGCTGGAGATATGTTCCACTTCCCACAGAGACATCAGTACAATGGTATGTAATCAAAATATTACCAGCCTGGCTGGACTTTCAGGCATGAGCTGCTGGCAACTGTCACAGTGATGCCGTGGTCTTGTCAGAACAGGCAGATGTGTGGCAGTTCCCTTAATCACTCATGCATTGGTGTCATGGACAGCATAGTGTGATCATAGAAACAGCTTCAGTCGTCTGCCAACCCAGGTCATTGAAGTTTTGGTGGATGGTGAAACGCTGTGATAAGAAGACAGGAAGCACAGAGAGGGAGGGAAATATAAGGCTGGGCTCTGGATCTAGGAAGCATGTGTGGTTGTCATGGAATGGGTTGTGCTCTCTCTTTCTGTGTCTTTGAAGGCTGGAGACCCTGAGGAGAACATTGCCAAAGCATGAAACCTTCTTGTTCTTAGCCATTCAGCTACAGAGGTGTTCCACTTTGTACATGGCATTCATATAAAGCTAAGTAATCAAAATAGCAGCAGTGCCCGTGTTACAGTAAGCAGCCAGCTGGTGGTAGCCCATGTCAGAACACGTGTCCTCTGGCTGCCGGGAGACATAGAATTGATATACTCGGACTGAGGTAAGGGCTACCCGTGGGAATGGAGGGTTACTGCTCCTTATCTTGGTTCAGATTTTCTTGTTTTTGAAAGCCACAGGTCCCTTCTGCCCACAGCCTCTTCAGCCACTCTGACTGAGGTTTTTGCAGCCATCTGTGAAGGCATGAACCTAAGGACAAGGTAACACAGACCCAGACTGTAACTCACCATGGCTTCACAGACAGATGGAAACTCCCCACAGCTCTGGACAAATGAATATCTACACCACCTGCTTTCTCAGAATAAAATCTTCTGATTCATAAATGCATTTGCTGGTTCTGCTTGTATTGTCTCTTTGAGAAAACTTATGAGCCTTTCCTTTTCCTGATTTCCTTAGTGATCCGTATAAATATAATGTTTACTCTGAGCAGCTGTTCCCTGTAGCCCATGGGCACCACAGGGAGCAGGTCTGTGTGTGCAGCCATGGAGGAGCCCAGAGTGCAGCAGTGGATGAGGCCTGGAGGTGACACAGCCCATGGATACAGAATCACAGTATCACCAAGGTTGGAAAAGACCTACAAGATCATCCAGTCCAACCATCCACATATCACCAATAGTTCTCACTACACCATGTTCCTCAACACAACGCTTAAACATTCCTTGAACACCCCAGGGTTGGTGACTCCATCACCTCCCTGGGCAGCCCCTTCCAGTGCCTGACCACCCTTTCTGAAAAGTAATACTTCCTGATGTCCAGCCTGAATCTCCCCTGCCGTAGCTTGAAGCCATTCCCCCTGGTCCTATCACTAATGACACGAGAGAAGAGGCCAACCCCCAGCTCACTGCAACCTCCCTTCAGGAAGTTATAGAGAGCAGTGAGGTCTCCCTTGAGTCTCCTCTTCTCCAGACTGAACATTCCCAGCTCCTTCAGCCTCTCCTCATATGGCCTGTGCTCCAGACCCCTCCACCAGCTTTGTTGCCCTTCTTTGAACCCGCTCCAGGGCCTCAGTATCTTTCTTGTAGTGAGGGGCCCAAAACTGACACAGAACTCGAGGTGCAGCCTCATCAGAACTGAGTACAGAGGGACAATCACTGCCCTGCTCCTGCTGGCAGCACCGTTCCTGATGCAAGCCAGGATGCCATTGGCCTTCTTGGCCACCTGGGCACACTGCTGGCTCATGTTCAGCCGAGCATCAATCAATACCCCCAGGTCCATTTTCTCTACACAGTCTACCAGCCACTCTGCCCCAGGCCTGTAGCGTCGCCTGGGGTTGTTGTGGCCAAAGTGCAGGACCTGGCATTTGGTCTTGTTGAACCTCATCCCATTGGCTTCAGTCCAGCTCTCCAGCCTGTCCAGATCCCTCTGCAGGGCCTCGCTACCCCCAGGCAGATCGACACTTCCAGCCAACTTGGTGTTATCTGCAAACTACTGGAGCACTGCCTGAAAGATGGGCCCGTGGGATGAAGACATGCTGGAGCAATGCTGGGAGAGCTACAGCTTGTGGGAAACCCACACAAGATCAGGTGGGGATGGACAGCATCACATGGGAATCAGAACATGGCTAGCTATCAGTGCCAAATCTCAGAGATTACTGCGTGACTTACATTTTGCTTGAGAAAAGCTTTGGAACTAAAGTCAGTTGGAGTCACCGTCTCTGAAAACTAATATTTATTTTAGTTTAAAACTTGTCATGTAGTTACAAATCTTGTTTCGTCATGTATGGATTGTCTGTATGAAGTTTGTGCCTATTGAGAAATCGTAAGTCAGCCATAACCTGAGCATCCCTAAGTCAAACTGAAGAGAGGTGTACATAGTGAGGCTAGGTTTCATCTCTGAAAAAAACCCTCTGCACCCCAAACAAATGGAAAATGGTTTAGCAGAAGAATAACTGGAACGTTTGAGACAAGTGAGAAGTGGTTCCTTAGAGCCCACTTGCTGCTGTTGATGGCATTCCATCATGGACAAACAGTGCATTACTGTAACTGGAGGGATAATCTTTATACCCTGAAAGAAAAATGTGTCCATGGATCATTCACTCTGCTCAGAGACAACACATTTCTCTCACTAAAACTAAAGGCCTCTGAACACCAGGGTGAATGTAGCACTGATCTTGCAATCGAGTTCCTGTCACTAAATCCCTGCACCTATGCGTGCCCTGTGAATTTCTTCACATGAATTGGGCTGTGGGATTGGAGCCTATGGGTATAACAGAGTGAAAAAGATCAGAGAGTTATACATTTTAGTAAGCAACACAGAAGCCAGTCGGATTAACAGGAGCATTGTTTAATCAAGCATTGGAAATACACTCTGTTCCTTGGGTGGCATGGTAACATGTTGAATACGAGAGATCTTGGAGTACTGGAGCTGATAAGGTACTATAACACTGGATGTTACAAGAGGCAGAAGGAGTAGGACAGCCCAGCCAGCTTATGTAGCACAGCTCAACAAGGTCATTGTAAACATAAACACTGCATGCTTGACTAGCACCTTAGAAACATCACTGAGATACTGGAGGTCTTCAGAAATGGGATTGATAAGATATATTGTTGTAATCCTCACTTTCTGTGAGTAAGGGTTGTATTTCTGGAGAAGTTCCTGCTCTTTTCTTTCTGCAGGCCAGGATGAGCCCAGAGAGCACAGCAGTAACTATGCCTCCGATCACAGCTGCGCCGACCAGCCAGGGCCAGATCTGACGGGCTTGCTCGAGGTAGGGGATTAAAAAGTCCTGGAAAGAACCAAGTGCTAGAAAGGAGAAAAACAGAGGTCCTTTTAATGATGCAATGCAGTTCCAGTGTATACAGATTGTGTAACAGATAATATTTGAAGGCTCAGAGTGAAAAATGATTATTAAAGTGAAGAAAATCGTCTGAAGGTTATAAACAATTCTAAGCAAATTCTACCAGTCCTTAAAGTTTCCCCATTTTTGTGTTGAAATCGACAGCAATTGAGTTTACCATTTCCAGTGCTATTTATGGTTTTGTGAAAACTGTAAGAATAGAAAGCAAGAATTGTTGAATCACTGAATAGTTTGAGTTCAAAGATCCTCTTAAAGGCCACCTAGTCCAACTCCCCTGCAATGAACAGGGACACCTACAGCTCCATCCGGTGCTCAGAGCCCCATCCAGCCTGACCTTGGGTGTCTCCGGGCATGGGACATCCACCACCTCTCAGGGCAACACGTTCCAGTGCCTCAAAACCCATACTGTAAAAAACTATTGTCTTATATTCAGTTTAAATCTCTCCTCTTTTAGTTTGAAAACATTTCTCCTTGTCCTGTCGCAACAGACCCTTCTCAAGGGTTTGTCAGATCTCATACAGCATGGGCAAAGGTCCTGCTAGGTCAGCATCCTGTTGGTAACAGTAACTGAGGCTGAGTACAAGGAGGAGTTTAAGAACAGATTAAACCTATCACAGTCCTTCATGAAGTGATACCCAGCCTCCAGTAATTCTGGTACACCTCCAGACATTATATTTTTCTACCATCTTCCAGTTTCACTGGTGCCCATAGAAGTAATCCCATGTATCTTCTTGGTGCTTTTGAACACATGATGTTTAGTAACTGCTATGAAAATATTTTAGTTTGTAGAACTATTAATGCTGAACTATACTCAGCATTTGATGCCTCAATCAAATTCTTAGATATATTTCAATTCAGGCTGAGTTTAGGCAGAACACAGTTGGTTTCTTTTCAACTCAGCTTCACTTTGGGGAACACTTCTGGTGTTACTTCTCAAGTCTGTACTTTTCTTTGAATCCCACTTTGTATTCTGAGGTTGGATTTGTAAGAGTATGCATGTTCAGACTTCTGACCCCATTAGACATATATACATGCTATATAACACGAAGAATTTTTTAAAAAAAGAAAAGTTATTGATGGTTCAGAATGAACTCCACAAACCTCTGTGTATGACATACAGTTTCTTTTTAATCCCTCAATTCTGCTCTGTCCGACAAGGAGGGACAGTACCTTCACAGAATCCTCCATATTGTGAATACAAATCATTATTTTCTGTAGAACACAGCTGCTATGGTGACTGGCAACAAATTGTTAAAGAGCACATTTTCAAGATAACATTTTAAGAGTGTGCAGTTAATCTTACATTAGGCTACATACTGCTCTAACTGAGAAAAAGACAACCAACAGCAAAAAGGTTTGGGCATCTGCTTTTAGCAAATTCTGGCTAGGTTGTGAGTGAGGTGGGGAACTAGGGAGAAAGTAGTGTGTAATGCATACATACAGGGCTGGAGGGTGTTTTCACTTTAAAAGCACGACTTCAATTCTGATAGTTCCTAACTCTGTCTGCTTTACTCCATAATCCCAGTGCTTTTTAATACAACTCTTTTATGTTCACATTGCAAACAAGACCAAATTAGAAATAATTTGGGTATTCATACTGGAGGATACATATCACAGAAGAAGCTTGATACATAACAGATATGTTTTTTGTGATAAGGAAAAAAGGAAAATATCACAAGATTCCCCACCTAGCTGAAATTATCTGTGATATAGATTTCTGTGTGGCTTCCTATACCTGTATGTTGTCTTTCAACAGAACATAGAATGGCCAGGGTTGGAAGGGACCTCAAGGATCATGAAGCTCCAAACCCCCGCCACATGCAGGGCCACCAACTTCTGCATTCAATACTAGACCAGGCTGCCCAGAGCCCCATCCAAACTGGCCTTGAACACCTCCAGGGATAAACAGGGCATTCACAACCTCTCTTGCAGCTGTTCCAGCACCTCACCACTCTCATAGTAAAGAACTTCCCCCTGACATCCAACCTAAATCTCTCCTCCTTCAACTTAAAACCATTTCCCCTTGTCCTGCAGTTATCTACCCTTTCAAAGAGTTGATTCCCCTCCTGTTTGTAGTCTCTCTTTAGGTACTGAAAGGCTGCAATGAGGTCACCCCGCAGCCTTCTTTACTCCAGGCTGAACAAGCCCAGCTCCCTCAGCCTGTCTTTGCAGGGGAGGTGTCCCGGCCCTCTGATCATCTTTGTGAAACAGAAACAACAGTCTTTCTCTCCCACAAGGTACCTAAGCTACCTTCTCCCTGGTAACACACAGCATGACTTTGAGATGAAGAGATGTCACTTCTCATAGCAGGAGAAACTAATTATTTTCTTAAATACCAATAGTCAGTTAAACATGCCTTCCTCCAGCATTCAGCCGCAGTCTGTACAGTTTCTGTAACTAGCTCAAAGCCAAAAGCCACCTCTTGACATCCACTACCTTTTTCCTACTACTTTTGCTGCACAAAAGATGCTTGGGTTCTTTATCATAAAGTTATCATGTTAACTCTTGAGTGTCAGAGTATGGAGTCACCCTGCAATCTGTAACCTGTGAATGTGACACAACCATAAATGTGGGACTGTCCTGGCTGCCCAGCAGAAATCCTGCAAAGTGACATTTCAGGGAGTCCATTTCCATAAAGCTTTAATCTCTCTAACTGTGAAAGACCCAAAAGTGCTGTGACTGTATTTGCTGACAACTACCTGGGAAAAGTGTCAGGGGAGTGGGGGGGGGGGGACGACACAAAAGCAATGAGAGATATTAGCCAATGCCAACTCTGTTCATTTTGTGTTGCTGTTTGAAGTTAAAAGATAATCATCCCAGGAAAGTGCCATGAACATCAGTTACAGCTATCCTTTATGTTCATGACAAAGCCAGAGGAAGGAAAGTTGTGCTGATGCATGATATCTAGACTTCCATTAATGACTAATAGCAGCAATATCACTTCAGTTTGTTCTTTCTGATGGGAAAATTCTTATTCTTCCAAATCTTTTTTGTGGATAGTAGCGAGTGCTCATTTTCAGTAAGCCATGTCAGCTGTGGCAGTTTTGCAGCTCATGGTACTCATGTCAAGCAAAGTTGGGTGTTTGCTTCAGCTTTTACTGAAATCAGCTTACTCTGCCCTGTTCCCATTCCTCTGTTTTTTCCTCTTTCTCCTCATTTCGAGGATCTGCTACCTTTTACTGACTACACAGATTTTCATTGCTAATAATCTTTTTTCCTTTATATTTTTTTCCTGTCTGTCTAGTAACTCCTGGCTTCCAACCCATACACTTTCTGTACATCCTTGAGTACACAAGAGATTTTGAGGGAGCCAGCAGGCTTTCTCACTTCACTTCCTCTAAGAAATTCCTGTTCACTTTTATGTTTCTTAACCAGAACCTGTCATTCCTTTCTAGAGAACAATCCAGGTGTAAACATTGAAATACTAAGAAAATCCATCTCTGTTTTTTGAGATTCTGGGCCATTTTCCACTTGTAACTAGTGCCTTCCTTCAGATAAGAAATAGCTTTAGCTCTCATCTTCTCAGTGAGATTAATAAGGGGTTGAGCAACGTCTGGGGATTATCTGGGCTTTCCAAATGAGTTTGAATTTCACTCTTCGTGTTGATCTTTCAAAATAATTAGGAAGCTACTTTCCTTGCTTCTGTATTAGAAACAGAGACCAAATTTAATAAGAATTTCATTTTCTAAGGAAAGTGCTCCCCTGGGAAAAGGCAAGAGATCAGAAGGCAACAGAAATGAATTGCTAAGTGGTAAATAATTTACAATTTGCTTCTTTGTGCAATACCCATGCAGAACTCAATATTTCTGGCTGTCACAGTACGTGGCACATTTTTAGATGTACGATTCTAGGAATAATGTGGTTTTCAGAAACTAGTGGTTTTCATTTGTATATATATATATATTTATAGTCTTGATGGTCAGGAATTAAATTATGGTGGCATGAACAAAAGCATAGAAATGCTTATAATCAGACAAAAATACGTAATAACTTTGAGACTATATATGAAACACGTATTAGATTGTTTTCTTTCTGAATAAATAGAGTTGGCCAAATTTTGTTACAGAATATTAGGGAAATAACGACTTCGTCTCAGTAGTATATTAATAAAAGACCTTAACAATAATCTAGGAGAGAAGATTCCGTAGTTATGAAATAGCCATAAATGCATTTGCTGGATGATTGTAAATCATGAGCTAGATTTTACTTGAGAATTGAATAAACAAAATAAATTAATGATGTCACAGTTTAACACAGTATGCAAAACTGTACATCTCCACTAGTAAGCAAACTGTATTGAAATACAGAGATGCTGTGATAACTGATAGTGCTTTGATAAAGACAACAAGAAAAAAAGTAGAACGCTAGCACTGTTAAAATGCCCCTGGCGCTTTTGCTATATAATTATTGGACTTCTTACCCTTAATTGCCTTGTAAATTAAGAGAAATTGTTCTGCCTAAAACAGGAAAACCAAACATGTGCAGTGACCTATTTGTCCTGTGGCCAATGCGTTGCAAAGATTACTGCATCCCACAGCATGAGTGGATATTATCTTTTGGATACTAAGTAATTTTATATCTTTAGCAGAATGCAGCTCTTTCATTAAATAATAAGGAGACTAAAAACCACAAAATCTCGTGCCCTAAGCGCATGACCTGCCCTACTGGAGGTTCCCCAAAGGTCTCTTCCCTCTCTATATACTTGAGAATGGCCAAGACACCCAAGTCAAAACCACTTCTGAATAGCAATGGAAGTCATAAATATTATCAATGACAGCAAAATCCATCTGAGTAAGTGAAATTAACATTATGAATGATTCTGTTGTGCTCTGTATAAATGACCACATGACAAGCACAGTGTCAATAGATTGCTGTTTAAAGTTCTGCATGAACACTGCGTTGGCCTTTGGTACTGAGATGAATTTTTCTCTGAGCCTTTAAGAGATCAATTTTATTACTTTTGTAAGCCAGGAGAGCTTTGGTTCTGTCCACTGTTAAACCAGTGGACATCCAGAACCTGAAAATCCCACTGGAGCTGCTGAGTGTCCGCCGCTGCCCTGTGGATCCTCCTCATGCAGTAGGGAATGGGAGAGAAAGGGGATCAGTTCCTGGAAGGTCAGGCTGGATGTGGCTCTGGGCAGCCTGATCTGGTGCTTGGCGAACATAGCAGAGGAGTTGAAACTAGATGATCATTGTGGTCCTTTTCAACCCAGGCCATTCTAAGTTACACGATATAAGCTGAGCTGGGCAAATAGCAGATTCAGAATCCATCAATTTTTCTCCCCTGTTCTGTTCATAATCTGATCCTTCAGACCACATTCTGATCATAATGAGGCTAGGAAAAATATGACTGATGTCAGTGATTCCTTTTTGACTGGGACTTTTCTAATAGAGTCAGGTTGGCTCTGTGTATGACCAGACGAGAAATGTGAAAACATGCAGGTACAGTTCGTAACTAAAATATGAAACAATAAGAAATAGAAGGATTTATATCTGTATTACATATACATAGGCAGTATTTAAACATATTGTCATTCTGCAGACGTATTCCATGAGTTAAACAACAAATTTGATATTTACTTAAAATTGCAGAGTTACCTGGTTCTTGCAGATACTCATAGTCATACCCCAGCTCCCTTGATGGTGTAAAAAATTCTCCATTTCTGTAGAGAGGGATGAAGGGAACCATATAATTTTCTCGATTGTGCCCAATGGGTGCATTGGCTGCTGGGTAAACTTCTAGCATGGGTCTGTGTCTTCTTAACCATTGCTCAAAAATGCTGTAAAAGAAAAAGTGTGTCTATTAATGGAGGATCCTGGCAGAAATTTTCCTATTGAAGATAAAAAGAAAAGAAGCTGATCCTTTTTCCTCTTGAACTCTAGAGACAAAGTGGAATTTGAGTTTGTATATATTATACTTTCCAAGTAGTTTGGGGTTAGCTTCTTCAGTATTGAGTTCTTGTGCAAGCATGTGAAAAGCAAAAGACTTCAGAGCGTCTTTTAAATTCCACAAATGCAAAACTGTGTCACTATGACCTGACTGAAGTTTTTTGCTCAGTAATTTGCAAGATAGTGAGAGATAGAAAGCAGGATTAAAGACCTCAATCCTTCCTTGTCACTCATGTTTAAGGCTATTTTTGGGTGGTTTTGTCCCATGCTGCTATGTCCCACTACCCTTCCCTTATTTTTCCTCTGCTGTAACTAGAGGCTTTCACTCCTGCATTAAGGTATGGATATACCATGGCTGATGTAACACCACAAATATCTTAGGAAGAAAGGATAGGCAATATGAAACCAAAAGCTTGATAAAGTAGATAAGTAGTCAGGAAAGAAGCTTTCTCCAGCTGTGGGTGTTATCAGCACCTCTGACCTCACCTGCACTTTTCCTTTTATCTCTGCCACTGGTTCATCTGTTCATGTCTCCTAATACAGTTCTGAATATTTTAAAAGGGAGGGAGAAAGCTCACATACTGCACTATGGGGGCAGAACAGTTTATGTTGGCATTTTCAAGTGAACTGCTGGATATATTTGGAAGGCAAAATCAACAGCCCTGCAAAACATTCTCAGATCTCCTTTTCTGCCTGAGCTTTGTCTTCTCAATTCTTCACCTTGTTTCAATCCTCAGATCTTCTTAGTGTCATCTGGAATGGAACTGTTTTTCTCAGAGTGTCTGGTATGATGCTATGTTTTGGTTCTAGGAAAAAATCAGTATTAATAACGCGCCAATGTTTATAGTTGCTGCTAAGCAGTGTTGTGCAGAACCAAGGCCATTCTCAGTGAAGGGCACAAGGAGCTGGAAAGGAACAGAATCAGGACAGCTGACTTAAACTGGCCAACGGTGTATTCCAGACCACATGGTATCATAAGGGAGGAGTTTTGAAGGCGTAAGAGTTCATCTTGCTCTCTTACACTGCTCAGAGGGCTAGCTGTGCATCAGTAGGAGGATGGTGAGAAATTGCTTGTGCATCACTTGTTATATACATTCATATATATAAATATATACATGTATATAGTTGTCATAATTACTATCATTTTCTCTATCTATTTCTACTCTTACTATTCCCCATGGCTAACCACTACTTGGAGGACATAGACTTTCCTCCCATCTTGTAATTGACTGTACAGGGGCTCAAGTTATCTTGAAAACATAGAACATGAATGAAATCTCTGTGGAGCATCTGAGAACTCTGCAGGTAGAATTTTACCTCCTGTCACTGGGCAGAAACATTGAGAAACACGATGTTTATCCCACCAAAATTAATGCTCTCTCTTCATCATGAAAACAGAGCTTGGGCCAGAAATTTGGTTCTTTATTAAGATCAAAAGATTTAGTAGATGAAAGCACCACTATGTTCATCCACCTTGTCAACCTTTAACAATGCAGATTGATTAGAATCTTCATTTGTAGCTTTCCAGTTAAATTTCATCAGCTCTGTCTAGAAAAACTCTTGTCAGAATAATAATATTCAGCTGAAGTTTTCAGATAGACAAATTTGAACAGTGATATCAAGTCTTCAGCTGCAGTTATATTGAGAATTTTTGAACAGAAATTCTGTAATCTCATTACATCTTTGGAGAATGCCACAGAAAAATTCAGTAATCATTTAAAAAGGCAAATAATATAAAGGAAATCAGACCATTAGTCTAGCCTGAGGGGAAGTAGGGCATGGGACTGCCATCCCTACACTGTCTGCCTTATGCTTCTGTTTTGGTCAAGGCCCCCTCACTATCAATTCATTTTTTTTCCTAGCAGTTGGAGGAAAAAACCCAGCTAGGTAGGAGCTGAGACAACTCTTCTCTGCATCACAGGACTAGTAGAGGCACAGATGTGGTTTGAATGTAGGGACACAGTAATATTTTTTTTTAATATTAACATTTTAAGATGATGGCAGAGATAGAACTTCGTTCATATTTTCAATGTCTCATCATGATCCATGCCCTAACTTTCGAATGCCCAGTCTAAAGTACTTCTTGGGGTCTGCTTGTTTGAAAATGCTGAGCAGTCATATTTTGAAAATCTGGAGAGTTGATGAGCACACAGTTCAGTGCTAGAAGTTGTCATTCTCCTGAAATAACTCTGTAGGACATGCCCTGGAATGCAGCATTCTCTCTGGATGACTTGAATGTTGCAATTTCATAAGCAGTTTCAAGAATTCTTAGGCCAGTAATCTTTTAAATAGAATGCAAATGCAAAGCATTTCCATGGAAATGAACGCATATGCTTTGGAATCCTTCATTTGCAGCATGGCTCCCACATTAAATAGCAAGCTTCTCTTAGCTGTAGCAGGAGCACTGAATTACTGACTCTTACAGCTGATTTTTAGATTTAGATGCAATCATATATCTCCAATTACTAATATGTTGAGTTGTGCTGATGCACAAGCATGCTGGACAATTCACTGAGCTGTTTTTGAACAGTTACATTTCATGATTCCCAGACTGATGCTGTTAATTGCTTTCATGCATTTTTAAGGAAAACTGGAGTCTTGATGTAGACTGATGCTTCTGCCATTGGTTAGGCACAGTGCCCCCTATCTTCTGGGGTTTGTTTTAACTGAAAGGCCTTCGGGATTCTACAGCTATATGTAAAGTAAAATAATGACCGGTCTTCTGTTTCAGAATACTGGGACCACTGAATTTTGTACATCCTGGGTAAAGAATATTTGGTTATCAGATCCATTTTCTATGGAGAAAAGGTTTTGTTTTCTTCCTTTAAAACTGCTGTGTTGTAGAATATTTTCTTTCCCTGAAAATATGTTCTCATTTTGCATGTTTCGTTCAGTAGCTGCAAACTTGGAAGAGCTTAGGGCTGCAGAAGGAGATCCTCATGCAGAGAGACAAGTGCTGATATAATTAGCTGGTCCCTTTGTGAGGTGATGATGTAAAAACCAGGTTAGTGGCAGAGTGACAGATCTGAACTCCTTAGATTTCTTGATTATCTTGGCAAAATTACTGCTTATCAACCTCTTCACATTACTTTGCCCCCGAGAGCTTAACAAAGCAAGAAAATGAAAACTGAAAGGCCTTTTAATTCTACATCATTTCCATTGCTTGGCATAATGAAAATAATGGTACCAAAAAGAAAGCTAACGAGTCAGGACTCTGTGATAGCCAATCTCTGTATTTTTTCTATTCCCAAAATGTAGTGGACAGAAGTTCAATGAAGGGAAAGTCTGTCCAACTTCTATAACAGCCTGTTTGGCTACTTTCCTCCTCAGTATGTAGACACAGAGGAGAAGCAGATAATTAGTTAGTTGCACAGGTCACAGTGGCATTTTTCAGACACGGAGACATTTTTAGCATTGCATTCCCAGCTAGATTGGCATCATTTGGGAGATGCTGGCAGTGCTGAAAAGAACAGATGGGATGAGAGAGTGGTGGGATGCACAAAGCAGGATTAAGAGAAGAACGTCTAAAGCAGTTGGGAATTTTATTTAGAGAATAGAAATTAGGAGGACCAAACCTGGGATCAAAATCTGGAGATAAACCATAAATCCTCACTAGCATGTAGAGAAGGGAGAGGGAAAGGAAAGAAAGTTTCTGTGTGGAATACATGGGTCATCATCTCTTTATCTACAGGAAATGGATAAATACATGGGCCTTGCAAAGAAATATCTCTTTATCTAAGTCAATTAACTTCTGATCTTATTTGAAATCACTCAGAGCTTGAACTTGACTGTCACAAAAAATTTGGAAGAGTGAGCAAATTGAGCAGAGTGGGCTCCTTCTTGCACTGAATCATAGAATGGCTTGGACTGGAAGAGACCTGAAAGATCATTCCATTCCAACCCTCTGTTGTGGGCAGGGCTTTCCCCCACTGGATCAGACTGCCTAGGGCTCCATCCAGCCTGGCCTTGAGAAGCTCTAAAAATGGGCTATCTTCAGCTTCTCTGTGTAGTCTGTGCCAGTGGTTCACCACCAATGAGTAAATAATTTCCTCCTAATATCTAATATCTTTCCTCTTTTAGTTTAAAACAGTTTTCTGTTTGCCTATCCCCGTCAGACCATGTAAAAAGTCAGTCTCTTTCCAGTTTGTAACTCCCATAAGTACTGGAAGATATCAATGAGGTCTTCCTGGAGCCTTCTCTTCTCCAGGCTGAACAGGCCCAGCTCTCTTCTTTGTAGGACAGGTGCTCCAGCCCTCTGATATAAAAATGGTATCAAATTCTTAGTTTCATCTTTCCCAAGTTGCATATTCCCCAACCCACTTGAACCACTGTGGCTTGTGGATCGAGCAAATTCCCTTCACTTTATACATCTTGGTGTCTTACTGAAGGGCAGTTTGCTCATGCATCTTATCATGATCATAAGCATCTCCTGTAATGGCAGGGAATGAGGGTGACAGCTCTTATCTAGGAAGGTCATGGGCAATCAGGATTTAGGAAATAGAAATTTAAAATATGGAAATGGACTAACTGGAATGGAAATCAATCTTGCGATAACCTTAATGCCCTTCGCATGTCTTCAGTGGCAAGCAAAAGTAACTTGGAATAGTAGCTTTTATTTAAAGGCTTTAGAAATAACTGTATGTAGATCGCAGCAAAGACTATTTCTATCTGGAACGCTGCTCCCTTCTGTTGAGGAAATCAAAGTGCCCAAATTGCATTTCCAAAGAGGTTAAGGAATAAAAACGGATAGAAAAATAATATGAATTTTGAAAGAGGTTCATGTTCAAAGCCCAAAGAGGCTCTGTCTCTCTGTACTGCATTTCCAGAGTAGAATTTATTTTCAAGAGGGATTTTTGTAACAGTAAATATTTAAGATTTTAGAACTGCTAGATTATGGTGATCAATAGTCAATGCAAAGATTATTTTTGTCATTTATAAACAGTATTTTAATGTTACAGAATAGTTTTATTCAGATATATTTAGGCTAAAAGAAAGCTCTGTGTTCTCACTGAAATAATTGATCTAAGGTCATGATAAATTATCAGTTAAACTCTTTGGATCAGTCAGAGTTTAATACCTTTGAGTCCCAGTGCTGTTACTGTAAATGCTGGCGCATGTTAACAAATAATAAAGATACCCACCAGGCATGTTGCTGCTTTGGTAGCTTAAATTTTCAGTCTGACGAAATACACTTTGCTTTCACAAAGCATTTTAGTGTGGTAGGGTGCTTTTACAGAGAAATTTAAAGGCATCCGTAAAAGACATGGATATATCACTTCAATTTGATTGTGTATAAAGAGACCTGATTATTTTCCTTATTCTGCTCTATACATACTAGGTAATATAAAATGAA